ACTTGATATGCTTAATAAATAGGAATTTTTATATAATATTTTAATTCTTTTGTCTTGTTAATGAACTAAGCTGAGTTCAACTCGATAAGGGTCGAGTCCGAGTATTAGGAGCTCGAGCTCGATTCGACTCATTTACAATTTGTTACATTGGTGAAAAATAACATAAGAAATTATTAATGTGAGAACTTGTTACCACTGATCAAACAATTAATGAGATATTTAAACACAAGTTATGGGAGTCATGATTTTTTATTTTTTTTCAGAAATGGGAGTCATGAATTAAAAAAGAAGGAAATTTATAAAAACAAAAGGTCATATTTCAACTAAAAGGGAAGATCCAATCGTATCATGAGGTATCCTTACCTAAATTTTATTATTGGATCATACGAATTCACACACACATATTTCTATTGATCAAACGACAAAAAATCTGATAAGAACAATGCAATGCCATGAAAACAAATTTTTGAAACTAAAAAGCGAAATGTGATATTTAAAAAAGAATTGAAAATTTTTAAAAATGGGTTTGCATTAATAGTTGTAACAATCAATGAGAAAGGGAATTTTTCTTCCCCAGTGCAGATTTGCGTGTTGATGTTTTATATGGAACGTCACCATTTCCCTCATAAAGACATACACCATGTGACACTTTCTCTANACTTTATTTTGAAATCCAAAATAAAAAAAATATTTCCATTTTGGTTTGGACCTAAAAGTTTTGTTTTTTAATTTAAAAGAAAAAAAAAATACAAATACTTTGAACTTTTCGGTGTTGGTCAAAGTCAAAAATCTTCTTAACTGTACTTTTACCGCAAAAAAAATATATTTTTTTAAAAAAAACTTGTACTTGATAATAAATAAAGACTATCTTTTACCAAATTAAGTTTTGAATGCACTTGCTAGAGAGAGAGAAAAAAAAAGAGATGTTCTTTTATTGATTAAAAAATTGATAAAGTTAAATTACAAAAATGACATTTTATTGCTTTTTTTTTTTAATTATTATCTTCATTACCATATTAGCACTCATATGAACCAAGATATGAACACTTGAATCCTAATTATATGTTATATTTATTTCTGTTGGATTTGTATTGTATTCTCACTTTTCAAGCAAAATTCTTAAGGAGTGTATTCAATTTGAATTTCTAAAGATTTTTTAAAATTATAAAAATTTTGGTGTATTTAATTTAGACTCCTCAAGACTTTTAAAAATCTTGAATTATTCATTTGGAATTTTAAAAAGTATTAAAAAATTTTGAGGTATTTAATTTATTTGAGATTAGAATTTATAGACTTTTTGTGATTTGTTGGATTTCTAAAAAAAAAAAACATCTCACCTCAAATCTCACGACTTAAAAAAATTCACAGCATTCCTCCAAAATGCGATAATTTTAAAAAATCTCAATTCACAAATAAATTTTAAATATCACTCCCGAATGAATACACTCTTCTTAAATTGCGCGCACACACACCTAGAGAGAGAGAAACTATTAGTAGATTTTTTTTTAAAAAAAAAGGTTCTCTGCAAATGTCATGTAATCCAAGATGCAAACTTCCCATTATTGAAAGAGACCTTTCAAGTTGACAAAATTCCTTAAACTCAAAACAGCTCAACTAAAAAGATTTTGTAAGTTCAGTGTCATATCTTCATGACTTCCCATTGCAGATATTTAAAACTCAAAACAAATAAAATTTAAAAACTTCAGAGCAATAAGAGCTTGGACATAACTGGAAACAAAAATTACAATTTTAGAAACCATAATCCATAATAATATTGTGCAGATTATGGGGCATTTTTTTGATGAACTGCAAAACTTTGGAAAGCACAACACCAGGACTTCATCTGTTCATCATACTTCTAGTTCAAAATTTCGCTTTTAACCGGTTTTAGTCTTGATATTTTTCCTAAAACCGAGCTGGGTTTCTGTTCAAATTCAATACCAATAGCATTCGAGCATTCTTCTGCCGTTGTGTTGCTGCCTCTCCTTCCATGATCTTGCCGTTTATGTGAGTCCTCGATTTCTGGTCACGAACCAAAATAGAAAACATTAAAGAAAACATGCATTTCATTTCACTATTGTAAGGCTATCGAATTATATTTCCTTTTCGACTTTAGGTTTGTATTTTATTTCACATACAAATCGAGATTATTATCAAAGTATATATATATATATATATATACCCAATCAGACAAATCCCCAGGATTTCCATTCAAGGGTTTGTTATTTTCTTCCCTATTCTTGTTATGCGTGTTGAAAAATTCACATTCAAGAAAATAATAATAATAATAATAATAATTATAATAGAAAAAATGAAATTCAAATGGAGAACTTCTACCTGGCAACTTTTTGTCTACAAAGAACACGACTAAATTAACCGTATGCCTGTGGCAAATTCACGTATTGTATTAGCCAGTTGATCCAATTAATTAACAAGCTGCAAGTTTAAACGTGCAGAAAATATATACACGAACACAATTTAGTTACCATGCCACGATAATATCAACTGTGAAAAATGAAGGTAAAAACAGTTTCACCAATACAAACGAGAGAAAAATGAAGGTAAAAACAGTTTCACTAATGTAAGCTTTGTCTTGGCCAAGCTCCTACAGTTGAAAAGTTTACAGCATCTTCAGAGAGTATAATTACATAAGCTAGATTTTAAATTAAGAAAAAAAAAAAAACAAGAGTACGAAAAAAATCATGTTTTACCGGAAGAACGAAGAAGCCAGTGTCCTGAAGTGTGGGGCCAGGCCGGTGAATATAATGAACTCCTCGAGCTGCCAGTCCATGGATATACTGACCAAAAGCATTATACAACACGATATGAATTAGAACCGGAAAATAGGTAAAAGCCTGTGATTAACTAAAGAATGCTGAAAAAATCATACACATAACATTGGATTTCCTACTTTCTACTCCATCCATCAGCTAACCATTATCACAAACTAGTATGAGGCAAATTTCACATGGGTTACCATCAGGGGTTCCAAAGAAGAAAATGCCCTCAAACAAAAAGGTTCCAAATTCAGTTCTTAATCTGACAGGAAAAAATAAAAAAAATAATCTCAGGCCTATTGCCAGCCATTTCACAACCAATGTACAAACAATACTTTAGAAGGATACCTGAAATATGAGACCCCCTAAAATGTACTTCCAATTTTCTGCAAGAAGGCTGATTTCTGTAGTGGTCTCTGCACATACTCTCTTCCATAGCTTCTTATGGAGAAAAACAAAAACAACATCAACAACAAAATTCATGAAATTTAATGTCAGACAATGAACATATAAATAAAAAACTAACAAGAAACCCAAAAGGGGAGAAAAATGAGAAAACGAAAAGGGAACACCCCACTAAATTGCCTCACTACAATGACATTAAAAATGGAACCTTTGAAGCCTCGCGACCTATGTAAAACGACATCGTGTAGTTGGTCGACGGCCAGCAACAGAGCCATATCACATCCCGAACGTACCCTTTCGAAAATCAACGTTCTCCATAGCCAAAACAAATGAAAGCTCCTACCTTTTTTTTTTTTTTTTTTTGTATTTCCCTTTATTCTCGGCACTCGAACTAGAAATTCAACAGACGACACGAATGAAGATTGCCCTCGATAAAAAAAAGCCAATATTGGTTCGCGAATTCAAAGAATCTTTGGGAAATTTCGATAGATTTCAGCCCCCATTTGTAGAGCCAGGAAAATTTGAAAAATGAAATGAAATTTGAAACTAAAAATGGCCGATAATGGGACCTGTTTTTCCACGTTTTATCGCTCTAGAAAAACTGGGTTGTGGGAGTTGTCGAATTTATTATGCAGGTGCTTTTGTTCTCTCTCTCTATCTCCTATAATGAATTTTACCATTTTTGATTTGGTTCTCTGTTGTGTCTGCCAAAAACGGGAGTTGAACAAGGAGAAACCGTTGGGTGAGTGAGTGGGGGCGGGCCAGGCCCCCACTATAATAAACTAGAAATCAATGAAATGAAATTAATATATCTTTTAATTAATTGTTTTCCCAAATTCTAGTGTGAAGTCTGTCTAATCGTGCAGGTCCACTCATCACTCTTTTTGAACGAAAATGTATACTACTCCCTCCATTTTGAAATATAAGGCGTATAAAGATTTCTCATTTTTTTTGAAATATAAGGCGCGCTCAAAAATCAAGACAAATTTTTGCATTTTTTTCCAAATATACCCTCATTGTGTTGAAATTAAGGAAGTGTGGAGTGGTTGTGATTAGAGTAAATAAGGTTAATTTAGTCAATTTATTCATTAATTAATGTCTCCTTAATATTTGTGCAATAACCTTAAATGCCTTATATTTCAAAATGGAGGGAGTATATCTTATTTTTTTAAAATTAATATGTGGCCAGTGCGATGCACGGATAAATAATATTAAATAATAATTATAAATTAAATATATAGGTAAATAATATGCATTGTTTAGGATTTTGGGTGCTACTTTGAAATTTTTTAAGATTTGAGACTTTTAAGATGGTCAAATTTTAGAGAAATACTATGAAATCTTAAGTGTGAATGTGAGATTTTTAGAGTGAAATTTTGTATAATGTTTTTTTCTTTTAAATCATATCTAATCTTAAAAAGACGTAACAAATCTTAATCTCAAATAAGTTAAATATTTAAGGATATTTTAAGATTTTTTTAATTTTTAAATATCAAAGATGAACCGCTTTTGTTACCAAAAAATGTGGACACAATTTTGAATGTACATCCCGTCCAAATATCAGTTTTATTCTATAATAAAGATTGCACGTGGTTTTATCCAATTTACACTCTTTTTTCTTAAAGAAAAAATTATTCAATAAAATTGGAAGAATTGGTTAAGAATTATACAACTATTTGTTTCCAAAATTTGTATCCAATTTGTACGGTTTTTAAGTTAATTTGTATATAAAATTGTTTTCATAAATAATTGACACATTTTTTGCATAACAATCTCCAAATTTGTTACCAAAAAACATATGATTTAAATTTTGGTAAAAAAATAAAATATGATACGAAAGAAATGAGATTTAAAATTTGCCATAAGAATCTCCAAATTAGTTATCAAAAAAATAGGATTCAGATTTTGTTACTAAAGATTCACATGTATTTTTTTTTGAACTTTTCATTAATAGTAAATCAAACATTATATTTTTTTTGTCAAACTTTCTATTAATATATTTTCCCAACAACCACTTTATATATATATAAATATAGATATAGATATAGATATAGATGTCATTTTGACTTTATCAACTATTAACCAAAATAAATGTTGTTTTGGATCTTTTATACATATTTTTCCATTATTACCTTCATTTAATTAATAAATACACTACGTTTTTTCATATTCTCTTCATCTTTTTCTTAAAACATCCATCTCTATCTTCATTAATGAGGGTTATTATTGACAAAAAAATTATTCTTAATTAGTGTGCAATTTTCCAAAACGACACTTATTTTGAATAGGAGGAAGTATTTTATACTATCACATTACATATAATTTTTTTGTTTTATTTTCCCCATCAAGAATAAAAACGAAAGCTCGTAAAGAGGTTTAGTAGGAAAAAACCATAAAACAATTCCCCACATGTGGATTTTGTTGGAGGTTTATGACCGAGAATGTGAAGTTGTGTTCACGATAAGTGAGACGTTCTCTATTTTAAAACTTGATCAATCTAAATGGATCCACATATTCATTCCTAGTAATCCTTATAACCAATAATCTAGTATGATGTTGATTTTTATGGAATTCACATATTTTAGGATAATTGTTTATTGAAGTCATATTACTGATCACTGTAAATTCCTAATATTATTATCTAACTGCCATGTCTGCTCAATAACATCTTATATTATACAATAATTCATTTTTTTTTATTAGTGCTGGTTTCTTTAGAGGAATTGAAGGATTCAAGACAATAACATTGGCAGAAAAATGACCAAACAAATTTAGGTAACTAAAAAGCTATCAGATTCACATTTTTGGCCTAAAGAATGCCCATTTGAAATTACCATGCACTATGGTTTTGATTTGAAATGGAAAAAAGACATGCAACTTCGTATTTTTCACTCAAGGGATCTTTTATGTTTGTTACTACAAGTTAGTCACTTAACTAGAATTCTTGAGGTTGGGATGTTAAAAAATTTAATCATATGTTAATATTTTATTTAATTTAAAACATTGCATAATATTGAGAAATTATAATTTGTCAAGTCAGCTGATCAGTTAGAGTAATACATTTAACAATTTAATTATTGGTATATTTACCCACTAGCCAGTATCCAACCATATGTATAAATCACAGTGTTAAAATAGGGGAAGAAAAAAAAGTGACAGAAACTTTGCAGGCAGTACTAATAATTAAGATAATTAGGAGGATAATGACTTCAAATTAAGAAGGTTCCAGTAGATTTTGGTCCATGTATCAGCATATCATCGTCGACCACTACAATAATAATAATAATAATTTAAAAAATTGTAAAATATTTGGCTTGCTATCAGAAATTAAAATAAAGCACTCCCTAATTTCCAATTGACAGGTAAGGCAAGCGCAGCATGGTTTAAAATATTGGGCTGGATCCGAAGATACGAGTGGACAAAGCTTCAGAACTTGTAGATTAATGGCCCAACTATTTCTTCTAAAGCCCAATTAACCTTTCACCTGATTGCGGGCGTATGGACATTTCCCCGGAAATGCCAAAAATAGTTCTAACAACAGCACTGATAGTCTGCTAGTAATGAAATAATTTGACAGAGATATTTTCCTATGTTTCTATCTTGAAATGTACAATGCTTTAGAATCTTCAATCCACATCCAAATATTGAAATCTAGCATATATTCCACATTTGATGCTTATTTTTTTTTTTCTTTTATATTCCCATNGTCATAACCTAAGAGCCCATGCCCATGCACATGACCCCTTCACAAAAACAGACATGCTTTGGGACCCTTTCATTAATATCCTCGAAAACGAGCAAATGATCATTTGCACGCCACATGTTCGACAAAACTCCCGAACCAAATCCTCGTTCGAGTGGTGGGAAGGCCCGGAAGCCCATATTCTCCGGGCCGAGCTCCCGGGCTTCGATAAAGAGGAAGTGAACGTGGCAACCGATGCAGAGAGAATGACACTTACAATAAGCGGCCAAAGGAATAAAGTCGAGAAGGAAGAGAAGCTCGAAAACGGGTACTACTTTGAGAGTAGTAGCAATGGCCGGTTTGTTAAGGTTTTTACCTTGCCGGAGGATAGTAAACAGGGTAAAGTCTGGTTTACGGTGGCGAATGGGTTTATCGAGATCACGGTTCCTAAGAGGGATGTTAGGGTTTGAGAGTTTGTCGATTAATATGTTAATTTGATAGTTGACATATAAGGATGTATAGTAAGGTGCGCTTGCATGCATGTAATAATGGTGTGACTGTAAGAAAGTATATGGGTGTATTTTGTGGTAATGAAAGCTTGTTGTTATCTTCTTCATGGTGTTTTTATTTTATTTTTATTTAGTTAGGCAGCTTGATATCATCAGTAAATAATATTTATGACGAATTCTTATTTAGAACTAATTAATAATAACAATAAGAACATAGTGCAACCTTTTCATTAACGAAGATATCACGTATTTTTATATATAATTAAGGACAAAATTTGTACAAGAAGCACTGAAATACAATAGTTTTGATATACTAGTGAAAGCATGAGTTATTTTATCGTTCAATTGACGCGCATATATATATGTATGAGTATGTCATAGTGTGTGATTCAACAGTAACTGCTCTCACTGATAGTGTTGAATTTGCCCACAAATAGGGCCAATTCACGGAGTCGGAGAATAATTCTACACTTGGCTTAAATTATCATGATTTATGCCATATTTCATGCAATATTTCATGCAATTCCTATCTTGATTGAATATGATATTTAAAAAAAAAAACTAAAAAGTCATGTCTTAAATTATCAAGATTAAAAAGTCATGTGTACTTTAAGCTGCAAAAGGTTGTGATTTATTTTGCAAATTAACTTAATAAATTGCTATTGAAATCGTTAAATTCCAAAAGGGGATTTCATGAAAAACATAATTTCAACGGGATTTTTCAGTGTTCACACAATTTGAGTTTTTACAACAGAATTTCTTGGTGTCAGATCTATGTTGGTTTCGTATTATTACACACAAAATTAACCCACTAAAGTGTGACGCTATATCATTTACACTCACTCACTCCTAAACTCCACTTGGTTCAATAAATCGTGACGAGTCGACTTATCTAACGTCTGGACTCTGTATGAATTAAAATATGACACTACAAGAAAATGATGAAATTCCAACGGAAATATATTCCAATAGAATCCAACAGAACTTTCAATGGATATTTCAATGTTATTATTTCCGTTGTACTTATTCCAATGGAAATTCCTACAAAAATATTCCGTTGGAATGAGTTTTTCATTGGAATTTTCGTTGGATTTTGACGATTCCAACGGTAGATTTTCCAACGGTGGTGGAAATAAAAATTCCAATAGAAATTGCATATTCCAACGGAAATTCCTACGGTCAAAAGCCGTTGGAAATATAACCGTTGGAATCATCAAATTTCATCTAAAATTCCAATGAAAAATACATTCCAACGGAATATTTTCGTTGGAATTTCCGTTGGAAGGATTCTAACGGAAGCTATACCATTGGAATATCCGTTGGAATTTCCATTGAAATATATTACCATAGAATTTTCCGGTGGAATATAACCATTTTTCTTGTAGTGTGATGGCCAAAGTCAAACTTATTTTGTCATTCTCAATTCTCAACCTCATATAAAACCAGGATTTTTGTCCTAGATTCTCATTCCCCACATTAATTGTCCACCCAAAATATAATAACATCTAGCAAATTCTAATTCCCATCACATGTAAATCAAGAGAGAGAGAGAGAGAGATTAAATGGATGGCATGCCCATGTCACCAAATCACAACCCAAACCAAACAATCACCATGCCCATGAACGAGACCAAAACCATGAATATGCACACGAGCTTCTTTTGGGGTAAACACGTCACCATCTTGTTCGATGGCTGGCCGGGCGGCCTCGGAATGTACGTTCTGGCCCTAGCGGCCGTCTTCTTGCTGGCGGCGGCCGTCGAGATGCTACCGGCGGCGGCGGTTTCGAAGCAGAGGGGCAAGCCGGCGGCGGCGAGCGCCGCCGTACATGGGTTGCGTATGGGTTTGGCTTACTTGGTCATGCTTTCCGTCATGTCATTTAATGTTGGGGTTTTCGCGGCGGCGGTGGCCGGCCACGCCGCCGGTCGCCTTGTGGCCAGATATAGAGAATTGACGGCGGTGGGCCCCACGGTTGATTTTTAATCCTGGATTTTTTTATTTTTTTTTAATGTTTTTTGGTGGGATATAAAAGGAAAAGAGAAATAATATGATATCTGTTGGTTAGTCATAAAGTTTTTTATAATATCAAGATTTGTGGTGGTTGTGAGATTTATGTTTTCTTGAGATTTGTGGATAATAGGAAGTTGTAAACTCTATTTCACACCATCTTCAATAAAATGTTACATATCATCAAGTTATAAAATTAGTACAAAAATTACTCTCTAATTCCTAATATCATGAACTCATTTATGATGACATGGATAAATTAAATCTCTACACCGTGAAGCCTAGTTTCTAGTTTTGCACATTCTGTTTGAAAGTCAACTTATTCAAAATCTAATAATGAAGTGTTTTTTCTTTCTTGTGATTTAGTTTTAATTTTTTTGTTTTATTTATTATTAAAGAAAATAAAATCCAGCTATACCAGTTTCATGCTTTTGAATGGATGCATTGAAGATATATGTATTCCAAATCAAAGTTTATGGCCTTTTGACATTCATAATACATGGATTTACATTCCATTCATTAGTTGACAGTGTCAAAATTTTACTTTATTCAAAAGATTAATATTGGAGATGCTCTTAATTATGTTTAGCATGCAAGCAGTTTATTATTATTATTATTATTATTATTATTATTATTATTATTATTATTATTATTATTATTATCATCTTTTTTATTAGAGCATATATTCATAATAGTTGGTTGAGTCTGGTATACTTAATTTTATTCAAGCCATCCAAAGCTCTAGTGCACTTGTATACCATGCAAGCAAAATTGAGCCCTGACAAAAAAAAAAAAATAGATATAAATATTAATGGATAAGTATATGCTTAAATTAAATTACGGGTTAACTGTGGCAATTTTTCTTTTTGGTCTCTCTGTTGCCAGTTGTTGGTAATGTATTGTAGTGGGGGAATTATCTGGTTTTTATTTTTATTTTCATTTTTATTGAATTTATGGTAAGTCATTTTCATGGAGTATTTTTATCCGGTAAGAATAATATAGCGGGCAGATGCCGAGAATTTCATTTCTATTTTTTTCCGTTTCTTTATGCTCCTTTTTTCTTCTTTTGTGCTGTACCACAAATTTGTGTGATATTATTGTACGAAAATTAGATGGTGAAAATATATTAAAACATAGCAACAATAATATTGACTAATCGCCAATTGTTAAATTTAGTATTAGTGTATTACACACAAAATAATTAAAAATAAAAAATGGAGCATTACAGAATATATAGAGCTTAGTGGCCCACTATTTTAAGCCCAGCCCATTGATATCTGATTCCACCCAAGTTAAGAGCAAACAGTAACCCAAGTGATAAAGATTTTAAATATATTTTCAACCCAATTATATAAGCCCAAAAAAATAAAGTTATACTATATCTCTTTGCCATTTGAAATTCATAAAACCCAGCAACAAATGGATCATGTAACTTATAAATTCTTATAGTTTATTTAATTACCTTATAAGTTTCATGTAATCATATTAGTCTCCTTTGGTTGAATGATATTTTCAACAAAGTTTGAACTTGTAACAAATGTTCATACAAGCATCATTTCATAAAAGTTAAATTGAACTTTTGTCTCCACTAATTTATAAGTTAAGCATACCTAATGCGTTTATTATTAGATTAACTATTATTAGATAAAAACTAAAATACAGTAGTTCATAAAGTTGTTCGACGAAGATTGATAATTTTATTTAATGAATTGATAATGGAAACAACTCCAACATTGCACCATAAACATAATATTACATAGTTAAATTTAATTTTTGCATGCTCACAAGCCTCACATATTGGATATAGTTGTGCTCATAATTAATGTATTAATCAAATGTTCAACACACAAACATCACATAAATGAGCACAAAAATTTCCCTCGAATCTTTATTTTTATCTTTTTATTTTTTATTTTTTGTAATATTAGTACCATGTTATGGATAAACAATTAAAAAAAGCGTGGAGACAAAAAGCAAGCTCATGGGCGGCACGTTTTATAGGAACAAAAGAATGTGCAGACGAATAAAGGCATAATGCCACAATGTGCAGGGCATAGTCAACACATATCACACACATGAAGAGAGCAAATGCAAACAAATATGAAATATCATTCTGAAAAACCCAAAAAAAAAATAATAATAATAAAATAAAATGGTGTACTTGATTTTTTTGAAATGCCAAGTCTTTTGCAAGACAACATTCCTTTTAAAATCTTAGCAAATTAGAATTTTTCCTTTTCTTTTCACAAATTAAAGATCACTAAAATAGAGCCACTTCCATTGATATTTGACCCAGAACAGCCCAATGGATGATTTCATATATTGTCTATAACTTATTGACCTATATTTATGTTATTATTTATAGAAAATATTTATTCTTATAGAAAAATTTACGTTGTACCATTGATTGATCTGATAACCCGAAGATCGAGTCAATACACGCTTCAAGTATGAAAGCATTAAGTTCCATCCACTTATTTATAAATATTACTAAATAAATAAATTAAAGTTAAAAAATATATTTTGTTTAAATAAAAAAATTTAGAGTGCAAAAGGCCAAAAGCAAAGGGGCTGTTCGAAAGCACATGGGCTAGGGTTTGAATTTTGAATAAACTGAGTTGGGCCCTATTATAGATATTCCATCAATCAGTCTCATTAAATAAAACTCAAACCCAAATTCGGCAACTGCACCATACTGACATGACAGGCCACCCGAATGACCGTTTTATCCCAATTAAAACCACATAATAACACAAATGGCTACGAATCGGGTCACTACTTGGAAACCAACCCGAAGAATAGTTATCGTTGGATCAACCCGAGACACCCTGTCCCTAGATCATCTGAGTTGACAGATTATCGACGCGTGGAGATTTTGCAGTGAATTGTGTGTTTGCTTTTGCGTGTACAGCATATCATAGCTGACATAGCACTAATTGCTGCGATAATTGCACTTGAAGATTTTTCCAACATAACAAAAAAAGGATAAATAAATGAAATAAAATTAAAAGTTATGGTATTAGCTATTAGGTATAAGGTTGTTTTGAAAAACATGACTGAAAAACTATATAAAAATTAATAAAATATTAATTAATTAAATTGATAGTTAAAAATATTTGAGTTGATAACAGACTTTTGGTTAAAAAATATACATATTTTACAATTAAAACGTCATTATATAAAAAAAATATAAATAAACATACGATAATATGGTATATAAATATCATATTTTTATTGAAAAAAATAAAAAAAATCGACTAGTCTAAGGTTCTGCCTCGAACAGAAAATTGAAATAAAAAGTAGAAATATTCGTGGGGGAAAAATAAGTGCTCATAATTGAGAGACATTATAATTTTCGCGTGAGGATCAATTTACAGTTGTTTGGCCCAATTGATAATTTGATACAGACAGCTCATAATTCGTGTAATCTCATCCTTAAAATCTTCACTATGAAGCATCCAACACAAAATTTAAAAGAAAGATTTCTCTTTCTACACTCTTTAAAATTTAAATCTTTAATAAAGCAATATTTTGAACACCGCCCAAGAGAAAAAAAAAAAGGCGCATTTTGCGAATATATAACCCACCGTACTGTTAGGCGCTTTTGGGATTTGATAATCTGTTGATACATAATTCAATTTGAGCAATCCAGGTTAAAAATACAATATTAAATTTGGACATTGATGTAATATTTTTTAATTGTAAATTCAATTTATGAGACAGTCTAATCGTCATACATCGATGGTCAGATTTGTTTTCTTTTTAAATGATACTTATAGTGAGAACTTTATTTTTGTTTGAGGTCTTTTTCTAAAAAATGATTAGTATAAAAGTAAACAAATAATTTAAATTTTGAACAATTTAACGTTAGTTGTCATTGTTTGTGTTTTGAGACACCATATGACCGAGATCTGGGGGAAGTAGACAATAAAGTTTTGTAAAAATACTTTAATTTCAAATTCCTAAATTTGAATCCAGCTTTTGATTAGATGTGCATTGAAAATTTTGAATTTGGAGACTAGAGAATCTCCAAGTTATGAAATAGTAATGTCAAGACTCAAAGTGGAATGTCAAACGGAAATTCGAATACAACAAATACACATTGCATTTCAAACCCAAATTCCTTCAAAAGTGTGAAGAAAAGCAAATAAATGCTTACAAAGTCTTCCACTTTCCTTCTGTTATATTTTCCAAGCTGTAAACTCCATAATTAAATGTTGAAAAATATTTTTACAAGTATGGTGAAACATAAATAGCAATACAACACTTAGCATACAAAACATAATTTCACAATTTTTTTTATGAATCTAATTAAACAATAGCTAAATACATCTATTATCAGAAAAAAGGAATATTTGTGCCATCAAATATTATCAAATACCGTTGAATCTAAATATACATTCGCATGAAGATTATAGAAAGACAAAATGTAAAAAACAAAATAGGAGCTAACAATAAACCGGTCAAAAGCCAAGAGTGCAAAAGCATGTGACACACAACACCAAAACACAACAAAGCAAATTGCTTTTTCTACTCCCCAGATATTGACCAAAAACATTAGTACAAAAACACACAGTGATTAAAACTAATAAGCAATTAATTAATGAAAACATTACAAATTTTCCATACATTCTCATTATCATTGGAATACAACTTTCAAATCCATTCACTGACAACCAAAACAAAAGAGCAACAACAAAAGTTGTAATCTCAACCAAAACGAGACCACAACTCACTGTGTCAACCCACCGCCAAATTCGTCGGCATAACACGGCTAAAAAACCACTATCGACATAAACAAAAGAATATTAATAATAATAACCTAAGCTCATTATTCCTTTACTTATATTTATAATAATAATTCCAATTTTTTCCCAATTGGAAACAAAATAGAAAATACCCTTTCTCCAAAACAAAATAAAAGTACCTATATTTTACTGCAAATATACTTTAGCTATTTTTCCTTTCCCTTAATATTTTCTTATTTCACCCAAACCAAACATTATTTTTTCCTTTTTTCATCATCGTCTACATTTACTTTACTACCACTGCAAATTCCTATACCACTACCTTAAACTTTCTTGCGCTTTGTCCTAATTTTCTTCAAATTATACTGACTGCATAACTCGGACCCAAATCCACAATTTTCATGTGGGTTTTCTTATTAGTAAGTCCACTCTTGAGGAAGTCTGAATTCTTGATTCACAATCGGCTGTGACCTCATACTTCTAGCCGGAAAAGATGCAGCCGGCAAATTGTTCCTCTGCTTCAGAATGACATCTGCAAGATTTCATAAAGTTCATATATAAAAAGTTAATCACAAATCTCAAAGGTGCAAAAATTACAATGAGCAAATCAGCAAATGGGTAATACTATAAATTATAAAACAAAACAATTACCATAATCAGGATTAAAATTTCCGATGCCTCTGGTTTGAAGCTGGGCATTCATGGAATCAATGTTCGGATTCAAAGAAAACCCTGTAGAGATTTCATTTAATGAGCCAACTAGAGTGATAAAATCCATTGTGAAATTTATTAATATACGACCGCCTTTAATGCACACCAACACACGGCGAAAATTAAATGAAACAATAAATACGGGCCGAGAAGCAGACGGCTACCTGGTTTCTTTCGGGCTTCGGCCGGGCTCGGGCTATATCGTCTGGGCATGAAAACGCCGGTTCCAACCCTATCCTTTTTTTGCCCGGTTTCTCTGAGGAAGGCAGCTTTCATGGCGGAGCATGTTTGCTGCTGAGACTGTTGTAAAGTGGGCCAGGCGGCCAGTGACAGACCAAATGCTCGATCAACTCCAGAACCTCTCCTTGCATCACGAATCTGATTATCCATATCCATAGCCCCATTTTTCATAATCATCATCATTAGCTGGTTTTGTTTCATCTGAAGCTGTTACATATCCATAATTAATTTATAAAATCAGTATAAAAGATAATAGAGCACATCACACTCGTGGAAGGGGAAGAAGAACACTAACCTTAGCGGCTTGCAGCTGGTGGTAAGAGATGTTAGTCTGAGTCTGAGGTCGGACCGGGTAGAAACCGGTGCCCATATCGGGTTTGGGCTGAGGTACAGAGACAGGGCCGGGCTTGCGGGCCGGGGTGAACAACTCGTTGGAGTAGAACGCCGCCGTATCTTCGGCCAGACGCATCCTCGCGACCTCCTCCGCCGCCGCGTAAAGCAAATCCCAGCTCGGGGCACTTTTGGCCTCAGGCGGCGAACAAGCCCGGGAATCGGAGTTCGGGCTGCCCCTCGAACCAGGCTTGAACCCGTACAGAGTTGACTGGGGCGAACCGGATAGTTTTAATCCCTACACAGAAGAAGCAGAAAGTTAGTCGTACCGTACGATGGGAGATGGAGAAACCGAGGAAATCAAAAACGAGTAACGTTACTCATTCCATACCTTAGCCGTGATATCAGATGACAAACTCGAGTTCCCCAGTCCGGAACGAGTCAGCTTCCTGGTCAACTCGGCGACGACGTCATCGTCGTCGCTTCCGAACTCCAACGGGCCGGTGACCGACTCGACCGGGGAACTCAGATCAGAGCTCAGACAGCCGGAATTCCCAAACCCAGCGGCGAAATCAGTCAGGAGGTCGTCGTCGGTCAGCAGCTCCGACGGTAGCAGAAACTCCAAATCGTCCATTTCTTGAGCCATGGCTGATGAATATAGTAAGCTGTTTGCTGAAAGTTCAATTACGGACACACACCCCACTTTGAAATGGAGGTGAATTGGGAGAGAGGGCACAACAGATATTTCAGAGAAAAGAGAGAGAAAGAGAATGTGTGTGTGTGTTTTTTTGAGAGAGAGAGAGGGTCTGATTTGTAGAGAGGAAAAGCGGAGGATGAGAAGGGAGATGATTTTTATAATGTGAAAAAAAATAAAAAACTAAATGGTGCAGGGTGCTAGTCGCTAACATGCGCCGGGGGCGAAAACCTTAAGGGGGAAGCGAGTGGGAATAACGCGCGGCGGCAGAAAATTTTGAATTATTTTGAAAAGGAGAAAGGAAAAAGAAAAAGGAAAATAACATTAAATACGAACAAAAATCGGAGAATTAGTTGGAAAGAGTTGTAGCCAGGTAAGGTGTGGTGGTGTGGTGGTGTGAGTGTGGTGGTGGGACCCGCGGTCTGACACCGCGCACTCGGTTCGCATGTGAGCCAGCAGGTGGGGCCCAGCATAAATTCGGTTCAGGGACTTTTTTTTTTCTCTTTGAATTGTTTCTGTTTTTGCTTTTTCTTTTCTCTTCCATTTAAAAGCATAAATTTTTGTATTTTATTTTTTAATCAAAATACATATACTATGAAGTATTATATTTTTTTAATATTATTTTAAATATGAAATTGATTTCATTTGTTCGTTGACGGGTAAGAACCTCATTTCACACCAATTAAATAATATAATTAACCTATTTGGTAATTTGCTTTGTTTGATTAACTTTTTGGATTCAAAGTTAATCATAAAAGGTTTCTCATAGTATTTTTGGAGGATAGTAGTATAAAAAATAATATAATGTAACAGTTATAATGTTTATCACACGTTTAAACTTATAATTGGAGAGAGAGAGAAAAATACAATAAATTTCAGTTATTTACCAAGCATCTGTTCGAGTGAATCATTGATTTTTCTACTCAATTAAACTGATAATTGAAGAGAAAAATATTAAAATCCATAAAAATTTGGCTATTTATCAAGCATGCGTTAGTGTGAACCGTTGATTTTAGTCTTTTACTACTCAAATCAACTATACAATCAATTATTATAATTGTTTTTTACTATAACAAGTTATCAGCTATCTGGCAAATAATAGTATGATAGTTTCAAAGTAAGTATATTTATGAAAAATGTATGATGACATACTCGTTAATCCAGTTTTATGATTGTATAAAATATTTAAATTTGGTTATCCCTTTAATAAGGGACATTGGTCTCCGGCAGAATTGGTTTGTGATTTGTAATTTTATTCTATACTAGTAAGTACCGAGAGAGAGATATTAAATGAATTATTTTCACATGCTCTGTCCTTTTAAGTGGTAATAATAAAATTACATACATATATATAAAAATATGAGGAACTAAATATCACAACAACCAAGTAACAATTATAAAAAAACCCATAACACAACAATTATCAATTAAATTTGATAATAATAAAATTACATACATATATATAAAAATATGAGGATTATATAATTCTATTAACTGATGTATACACCACGTGTATATTTTGTTAAGGTATATTGGAATGTTCAATTTTATAGAATGATAACGATCAGTCTTAAAAAATCGAAAATCTTATTGAAATGTCATATTTTTCTGTTAAAAAAAAGTTCTCATAAAAAATAATTAAATCATAGAAAATTCATTGTGTAATTGAACAAATTTCTATAATGAAGCCCGATTTTCTGTACAAAAATAAAGCAACAACTTCTACATTTTAAGGAAATCAATTAATGTTGGTCCGTTTTTGCTAAGAAAATAATAAATAAATAAATTGTAATTAATGGAAAGTAATTAATGATGAAAGAATTTGACCATATCTGTATTTAAAAATCGTAACAGAAAAATAAATATTAAATAAAACTGTATAATACGGAAATAGTAATGCAATAAATGTTGTTGACTTTTCTTTATACTAAATTTCATAAATAGGACTCCCTTTATTATAAGTATAGATTGTATAATACGGAAATAGTAATGTAATAAATGTTGTTGACTTTTCTTTATACTAAATTTCATAAATGGTATACTTTTAATATAAGTATAGATATTACTATAATTTTTAGTCTCTATTGCTTTTGTGATTACAGATTTACACTTTATTTTATATTTTCTAATTTTTGNGCGCCTTTTTTCTGATTTATTACTATTTATATGTGTGATGGGGTTGGGGGGAAGAAAAAGATTAAACAATTTCCTTTATATGTGGGATTCGTGCTTAGCATATGACAAGTAAAATCTGCATGTTATGTTAGACTTGACCATTGTCCGTGAACTTAGTGAGATCCAAAATAATACAATAAAAATTAAAAAAACCTTAGTGAGATCCATGACTTAATATAGGAGGTCACTCTTATAAAATAATAAAATTCATTCAAATGGGACAATTTTTGGGTAATTGACAATTATATGGCTGTTTTGGATCGGTTCAAATTGTATTTACGCACCTGCACGTTCTTTTCCCATTTTTTAGTTTGCCTAGACTGCCCTTGGAGAGGTTATACTTTACAGCAAGTTTGACCAATTTAGCCCAAAAATCCTTTAGTTATATGGGATTAGTGATGTTAAATTAAACAAGCATGACTCGGCTCGACAGCAGTTCGCCTCGATAAAATTCGTTAACACTCAAACAGAGAATTTTTATGTAATTTTTAATAATTTGACTCCTTAAAATTCGAGATCGACTCGTTATTAGTGATCAACGAGTCAAACTCGGCTCGATTTCAGGCTCGTTAAGGGTCCGAGTTCAAGCACCCATAGCTCGAACTCGGTTCGACTCGTTTACAGACCTATATGAAATGTGCCGATTCACAAGCTTGATTGTTTTGAGGGTGAAATTAAAATCACAGTATCATAAAATAGTGTTTGGAGATAAAAGAATAACTATAATTATAACAATAGTAATATTTATTACAATTTAATAATTATCGATGACATCTTCTCATTTAGAGACTCATTTAATCTAATTCACGGACATTATTGAAACGAAATATAATTTGTTTTTAACTTTCAACTACTGTTATTTTTCTTCGACCAAAGTTTTATTTTTTAATAGATTACAAACTTCATTTTTCTTCCAAACTTGCAATAAACTTCATTGTTAATCAAATCAAAGTTCACTAAATTCAAATTGGCCATATTTGGCGCCTTCAAGCAACAACGTTCAAAAGATAGTCCTTTGAGAAAGACAAATGACTATAGGTGAGACATTCTCACACTTCATTTACCAAAAAAAAAAAGTAATAATAATAATAAACTACCACTTTTGCCCCTTATGTGATGCCACAATATATCTTATTTCTTGATGCAGACACATTTAAAATTCTTTATTTCGACACAAATATTTTTTTTTTCATTTATTTAACAAATAATAACAATTTGAGTGACAGTGGATAAAGCTCTTAATCGAAATTAGTCTAACGTGAAGACAGTTCGACTCAACTTGTTAAAGCAGTGCTCAATTCAACTTGTTGAGGTTGGCTCATTAATGTTCAAACTCGGCTTGTCATCAAGACTCGCTAAACTCAAATATTGTTTAGGTAATTTTTCATAACTCAATTTGTTAATATTGATGAACAAATTAAACTCAATTAAACGCATTTATCGACTCATTTAGTTAACGAGCAAATCCAACAAAGCCTCAAATCCAAGTTCGAGCTCGTTCATCGATTCATTAAAAGTTAAATCTCGACCTTGTATTATTATTATTTAATTATCAATCAAAATATCTAAAATAAGATTGTTATTTAGGCTTTGACATGGGCTCCATGCACGAACCTAATTTTCAAGAATCAGTTGGCTAAAGGCAATGCGTTATGATTCAAACACTGATGGGACATCTCTACCAAATTAGAGGTATAATGTTTGAACTTAATTAGCAATTTGTGATAAAATAAAACTCAATAAAGGTTAAATAATCCATTCGTGATACTGATTAAACGCGCAATTAGCAGACAAATTGTCTTTTAATTAAAATCAAAAGATCTAACATTTGAAATTATGTTGGAGACTTGGAGATATTCGATTCAAGTGGAATCCAGGCCTGTTTGGCTTTTTTCCATTTTTCAGTTTTTCTTTTTTGCGTTTTTCCGTCGCTTTCCCTGTTTTCTTCATTATCCACTCACTTTGCCTGCTTTTGTGTGAACAAATGAAATTTATTCCACAATAATACCTGTCTACCATTTATAAAAGCTTTTTGAAAAAAGTTGGGAAAAAAATAAAATAAAATAAAGGTATGGAAATTGAAAAAAACTAGTCCTATCAGTCTTACCACCCCAAACACACACACAACTTGCACTCTTAAAATATATATGTTTTAAAGAATAATGCTATAGGTACATAATAATGTACATAGAATTGTACATAACACTCACATAGAGTGGAGTCTACTTTATTTTTGGTCGGTCTCATTCAATGTGAGTGTTATGTACACCCCTATGTACAATATTATGTACCTATAACATATATCATATCTTAAATGTGTGATTTCAAAGTGATACTATTACTATTATTTCAATCTCGTGCACATGTACATATATAAATAAAATTTATATATTATATGCTCAGACTATGAGTTGGATAATCAACATAAAACTTTTCTATAGTTTTATTATTATTAAAATATGAACGATATAAATATAAACTATTTAACTTACACATTAATATTTATATTGATTGCAATAATGTAATTTTTGCAAACTTTATTGATTGTGACTAATTAATTAAATTAAAAAATATTGATATTATTAGTAAAACAATTGTGTTACGTGTACGGTATTCTAACGAGTTTAGTTTGTAAAAAAGTACTTAATCAGTTATTTGAAAAAATACAATAAAATAACATTTAATAATGAAATATTATGCTTATTTTGTAGTAGTTATTATTCAATAAAATAAATAAAAAATATAATTATTGACTTCATGCAAAACATAACAAAAAAGAGTGAAAATGTAAGCAATTGTTATAAATCTTTTGCCTATAATTATATATATACCACTATTCCTACAATTAAATTAAAAAAATGTATTAAAGTTAATAAGTGTCATTCCTAGTGGGTGGCCGTATGAATGCGTGTGGAAATAGATGTTTGCTTTGCTTCCTCAACTGAACAAGCAATTATTATTTACTAATTATATAAAAGTAAAGCAATAACGAAAAAAATTATTTAAATTATTTATTTTATCTGACGTGGTGATGGCGGGCCACAGCGGATCCGGGCATATCAACTGTCGACCCATCTTCAGTCAA